TTAATGAAAAGATAGCCCTGAAATTCCCCTCAAAGTACTTTTCATTATTCTGAAGCACTCATTTGAACACTTTTGCTAAAAAAGTATTGGGGAAGCCTTTTGCAATTTACAGCAGAAAGAAGAGGATATGAGGAAACTACGAAGAGTCGCATGTTTGTGTCTTGCCTTCAACACAGTCTTGAATCTCAGCTTAAGAACAGAATTTGGGGGAAAAAAGCACAGATGTACATCCCTGAGGAATGATGCAATGTGGAATTCCCCTCTTCTGAGTAAATCCACAGCTAAATGCTAACTACCACACAGCAGGATTTGCTGAGACGTCCATGAAAAGATCTATGTGCATGAAAATCACATTTTTCTGTTGGCAGTTACACGTGTAAGGAAAACTAAATCACCAGACAGGGTTACATAGTGGTTTTGCAAGCAGATCAAGGATGCTACAAATAAAACCTTCCCACAGTAACATTCCTGATAGTTATCCATTACTTCTAAAGCAGTCTTCAATTTAACTTTATGAAAAAAAAAGGCTGAAAATACTAGCATTCAAAATACAACTAGATCTTAAATCTACATCCCATGGATCTCTTCAGAGACACACTAACACAGAGTTAACCAAAAGCAAGTAATCATTCTCACAGTTCATAATAACTAATACTTTAAGAAAACTATACATCAACAATGTTCCTTTAGAAAGGAAGCCTGGGAGCACACCTGCATCCAAATGGTTTTCATTCCCAGCATTATGATTTTTATTTGAAAACACGTCAACAGCTGGCAACCAAAAAAGTTTTGATGACAAGCAGACTGAATTCACCTCTCAAATAAAATGAGCAGCTACTGGCTTCTTGTAAAACAATGCAAATATCAGAAAATCCACAACAGAAAATGCAAAAGGATTTTATCCCAAGTCACAACCCGCCACTTTAACACCTTATTTTCCCTCTCCTCTCTGGTGGGGACAGTCATTAACAGCTCTCCTGTTAACATTACCAACACTCCATTTTAAAGTACTTTACCAAATCAGATCTACAGAACATACTCTAAGCACCAGTGGGCTCAAGTGGATACTGTACTGTTTCAGAAAGGCAGCAGTTGACATTTTGAGGGTGCAAAGTCGTGACAGAACAGTTTTCTGCCACTGTCTATTCAAGACTCTAAACAAGAATATCCAAGTCAAAACACAGTTCTGTCCCGAAGTGCAGAGGGAACCTCTGTTAACCATGTCCTCAAGTCACGTTCTAGCCTGAAGCACAACAGAGACAGGCAACACAATGTAACTGTTCTAAAAAGATAACTCACAATGAATTACAGTTTTGTAATAACAGTGTGAGAATTTTAAGATGTCCTTACACTAGTAAGAAAACAAAAACCAGATTTAATACATGAAAATGTCACTGCATTTCTCTAACATCTGAATCTAAAGTAGCTCAAACTTCACAGGTACAAAAATTCAAGTTCCACTGCATGCAAACAAATGCTTATGAAAGACCTTCTTTCCACCCCTCACCTCTGCTATGGAATAGTATAACAATGCTCAGCTGTGGCAAAAAAGAAAAGGAACTCTGTATTTATACACCACAAACATTATGTGTGATATAAGACAAGTTCACAGGAACAGCACACAACATTGCCAGCTTTGCAAAAGACAAGGACTACAGCGAAAGACAGACTTTGCCAAGCTGTGTTCCCAAAACATACCCTCCAGCACAGCTTTAAATTATGAACTCTGATTTTAAACAGGTGTGATACAGGTAATAAAACTGGATGCAGGTACACAGAGGTGGGAGAGAAGACAGGTCCATGTTGTAGGAAAAACTTAAGATACAAGAGAAACGTGTCTACGTGTTCAGATTAATATTAATGCAAAACATCCGGGAAACAACTGTCTAAAGGACACAAAAGCTTTCACATGGACAACTTTTCAAATGAGCAAAAAATCCAGCAAAGTTTCTTACATCTTCAGACACATTGGTCTCTGCAACTACTGGATAAGCAAGGCTACCAGTTGGATTAAACAACTGCTTGTGATTACAAGAGAAAGAACTAAAGTAAGCACAATAGTTTCAGATGCTTTGTGGGATGTGGCTTGTTTAAAATCCTGTTATAAGTTAAAAACAGTAAGGGACCCCTTTGACTCATTCACTTCACAGAGGAGGCTATCCTGATCAGGATGTTTCCAAAATGTACCAACAGCTTTTAGGTCTCTTAGAACATAAACCAGTATTTCTAAATTAAAAAAGAAAAAAAAGTGTGCATGTAAAAATATGTATCCATATATTTTTATACAGACACCTACACTCGGAGTACTGCCTAACACAAAAGTACTTTCCATTCAAATACCTGAAATAAGTTCTGAACTTGTCTAAACCAGAAGGCCAGAAAAACTTTCCATATATTTTCAGTACACACCTGACAGAGACAAAACTTCAAAGCCATTTAAAAGCATTTTGTTCAAACTGATAAATAACTGAATTCCTATCCAATTTTACCCGAGGTTGCACTCATATTGGAAAGTCCTAAACTAACTGCAATTTCAAGTGTAAGATGTCTTAGAACTAAGGTTATTACAGACACCTTTATTTTCTCAGAAGTCTATTTAATTTTGCAAAATAGACAGTAATGCACTATTTTAGTTTACTCTGAGTCTCTCTTCTAAGAATTCCAGAATATTAGTAAAAAGCATAAACCTAAAAGTGTGCATTTAGAACAGAGAGCAGTTGCACTGGTCTATCTCTGAGTACAAATGCACCACAATGTGGGGAAGAAAACGTTTATGTAAGGGTGACAGTGTTCCACAGAGACAGAAAAATAGCTTTGCTACCACTATCCTTATTGATTACAGCCTCCAGATGTAGTCTTCCTGTCAGCTCCATGGGCCTAAGCATTGCCAAAGGGCAAATTCTGCAAGAATTTGAAACAGCAGCCAGGAAAGATTAAGAGAGAGGATACCCTAAAGAATACCATTAACACAAACTACACAAAAGAAAAGCACAAGGTATATTGGAGAGGGAAAAGTTACTATGATATAATCTTACATTTATTTCTTGTTAATTGCCCCCTGCCCACCTCCCCATAAACTTGAGTTTCTTCCACTGCAGCTTTATGATTATGTTTATGTTTTTGTTCACAGCTACCATTAATCATCACCGTTGTCCAGAGTATTGAAACAGAATAATCAATATAGGAATTTCATACGCCTCCCTGAAATTCTTGGTATTGGCTACTGTAGCTTGTCAGCTCAAAGAATAAACATTACTTCACCTCCAAGAATCAAAAGCATTATTTTAAAAAACAAAACAAAAAAGTCCAAGCACACAAACAAACAATAAAACCCCAACTCCCTCACATATGACTTGGGTTTTGCTGAAATAAAAAGGTTACTAGATCAGCAACATTTATGATGGGGAGGCCTGACAATTTCTCTAAGAAAAACCTTGTAATATCAAGAATTAAGTCAGCTGCCTACAGATTTTAGTTACTCCTAAATCTTTCTTACTAGGGACATCGCTCCAATTCCATAATCAATAAAGGTCAATCCCTCAAACACCAACCAATAGTCCCTTCCTAAACATAAAGATCTTACCACTTATTTGTCAGGCACTTGAGGAGCTGCTGAAAAGCACAAGTTACCCAGTCCCGTCTATCACAGCAAATGTTGCCACTGGTATACTCAAGAATGCAAAATAATATCTATATCCAACAACTTTTTACAAAAATACAGGCCCCAGTTCTGCAAGTAGGTCAGCAAAAGTGGGCCTTATGTTGGCTCTGAGCCTGCGACTTCAGAGGGTCTTTGGACTGATACAAACACCCAGTGACCCGAACACAGCTACAGAACTGTGAATATAAACCGAGTTGTACAGATACCACGAAGACAGCTGAGACAGACACAATATGTCTGCAGTGAGCCTGGGAGTCCTTCGAGCACTTAATTAGAACAATTCTTTTCTGCAAGATTTTTTTTTTCTCCCTGTACAGATGTGTGTTACTGTGAATCTTCAAAACACTTGACTTCTGAGGGAGCAACCTGAAAATGAAATATGGCACCTTAAAAACCAGCTCAAGATTTTTGGATGCTCCTAAGACAACAAAATCACTTAAAAACAAAACAGATAATTTTCAAAGGCTATTCCCTCTGTATACAAACAAAGCTGTGGAACGGCACATGTTAGTTAACACAGCGATAACCAACACACAAAAACCTCAACAACCCAAACAAGTGGTGAAATCCTGTTTTCTCGAGGACAATAACAGGGAATCTCCGCGGCCGAACCACACGCAACTACCCCTGCGCACACCTTGGGGAGAGGGCTGTAGTGCCTGGAATAAATCGCTACAGACAAGCCCTAAGACACGGCTCCGGGGAGAAGCGGCACGGCGGACCGGAGGGATCAGATGAAAAAGCCACGAACGCTTTCTTCGTGCACGGCAGCAGGGCCGCTGGAAGCCGAGGCCAGAGGAGTGGCCTACGTGTTCGCAGTGTTTACAGCGGGCGTGAGCGAGCTGCTTGCTGGTGGTTTTCATTGAGACCGCCGGGAAAGCGCCTCGGCAGGGCCTGATTTCCAGGCGTCGCCCGGGCCTACGCGGCCCCAATCACTCCACCTCAGTAATGGCGTTCGGGGCGAAGGGAAGCGAGAACCCGGCGAGGCGATGCCGGTGCAGCGCTGCGGGGACGCGCCGGGCCCTCCTCCCCGCCGGGGGGGGTGGCACGGCCAGAGGGGCCCCGGCGGGCCGGGCAGAGCCCCTCGAGGGCTCTGGGCTCCCCCCCGCCGGCCTCGGGCGATGAGGAGCCGTCAGCCATTTTCCCTCGCCCTCCAAAACACGGCGGTGCGGGGCCGACCCGCCGGGGCTGCGAGGGAGGCGCCGCCGCCGCCCCGCACCCCCGCGGGGCCTCGGCAGCCCCGTCCTGCCCCTCCCGCCGCGCCCCGGCCCGCGGAGCCCCGTCCCCGGGGAGCGCCAACACCGACCGGCCCCGCCCGGGCACCGCGCTCCGCACTCACCCTCGCACCGCTTCCCCTCGTCCCGCGGCGGCTGTAGCGGCGGCCCGGAGCCCTCCTGGGCGCTGCCTCATGCCCGGCGGCCGGCGGGGCACGGGCTCATGCCAGGCCGCGGCTCTGAGGGGGCGGCTCCGCGCTGCCCCGGTTCCCCCACTCCGGGTGCGCTGCGGCGCGAAGCGGGAAGGGGCGAATCGGCCGCCGCTGCCCGCGCTCCGGGTGCCGGCCCTGGGCGCTCCGCTCTCTCTCTCCGGGGCGTTTTTCCTGCGTCACCAGCTGCTGCCCGGCGGCGGCGGCGGCGGCGGCCCTGCCTGTGCTCGGGCTGGGGCTGGGCCGGGGCCTGCGCGCTCCGCTCCGCCCCGTCCGGGCACCGGGCGCACGCGGGGGGGGTGGGCGGACGCGGAGCTCACCCGGGCGGGGGCGGCGGGGCCGGGCCGGGGGAGCGGGAGCTCCGCGCTGAGGGCTCGGCGGGCCGGGGGAGGGAGCGGACACGGAGGGAGGGAGGCAGCGGCGGCTCCTCGCGCTCGCGGCGGCAGCGCAGCCGCGTCTGGCGGGGGCCCCGTGGGCAAGATGGCGGCGCCGGCAGCGCCTCCCGCACCCGGCCCACCGCGGCGGCAGCGGCTCCGCCACCCGCGTGTGTCCTCCGGGGCTGCCGCTCACGGCCGGAGCCCGCTCCGTGTGTGCCTGTGCGGGGAGGGCGGTGCGGGACTGGGTGAGGGCGGTGGGACGGGACTCTCTCTCCCTCTCACACGCACAGAGAGGCAGCGACGCGCGCGCGCCGGGCCCGTTTCGCGTCGGTTGGGCGCGCGCGAGCGCGCGCGCGCTCCCCATTGTGGGCCCTCGGCGGCGGGCGCGCGCGGGGGCCCGGATGATGACGTCAGGGCGGTGACGGTGACGTCAGCGCGGTCGCCTCTCGCCTCTCCCACCGGGATTCGGGATGGGACCGGGACGGAGGCTGCGGGACCCCGGGGCTGCCGCGGAGGTGACTCCATCCCTCGCCTCCCGCAGAAGAGTCATCCCCGTTAGGGGACACCGGCTTTGCTTTTTTGAAAAGCGAAATGGATCTTTTGTTCGTCTTCACAAGCTCCCCAGGGAAGTGGTCACGGCACCGAGCTCCGGGAGCGTTTGGACAACGAACGCTCTTGGGCACATGGTGTGGCTCTTGGGGATGGTCTTGTGCGAGGGCAGGAGTTGGACTCGATGATGCTATGGGTCCCTTCCGCCTCAGAATATTCTGTGATGCTTTTTTCTTTTATGTGATACGTTTTCATTTTATGTGTTCATTTATGACTAGAGTACGAGGTCAGTAGAACCCCAACCTGTGTAGATGCAGCTGTGGAGACTTAAAACCTGGATTTAAAACCTGGAGAAAAAATTGGGAAGGACGCCTTGTGGAAGGACAGAAGTTTGGCAGATATGGAGAGCTCGCTCTTGAACAGCACCTGAACTAGTGCTTAATGTTTTGTTGGTCCATATTCCAAGGTTAAAATCTCAATTTAACAACATCATTCAAGAATGTCAGAGTAGGAAGTGAAAGATGCAGCATCCAGCTGAAAACACAGGAGGAATTTAGACTCCACGGGTTGGAATTTGCTCGAGAGGCTCGGGCTAAGAGCCTTAACTCTCGTGCAAAATGTTTTTATCTTTTGGACCATTCGGTGGCAAAAGGCTAAAAAACCGATCACTCATTGCAGGAGTTTGAACAGCACTGAAACTGGATGGGTGTTTTTCAGTAAAAAGCTAGAGCTCAAAGCCAAGTGGTGATAAATTATGATATTTCCCAATTTAACAAAGTTAGAGTTAGTAATTTTTCTTGCTAATCATTAGATGGTATTATTTGGGAAGGAAATCTGAAGTATGTTTCTGCATTAGCCACTCAGTAAAACAAAACAAGGGATGCAGCTGCTTCATCACTGTATAAATGCAACAGTTTGTTTACTGAAGGAATAGCTTTGCATGCATCTTCTTCAACAATAAAACCAAGCCACAACCATGGTGAAAATCTGCAAGTGTGAGCCTGTTCATGTTTGGGTTAGAAATATATGTAATCATATAAAAAACAACCCTTTTATCTCCAGGATATTCATGCCTCTGAGCATGTTATTGTAGCCTCCTCTTTTTGTGTCTTATCAATTACTTTGAGCTTTTCCTCTTATTTCCAATTTATCCAGTTTGTTCTCCAGGGAAGGCAGTTAAAATTACTGCACCTAAAATGCATTTAGCTTTCCTTGCCTGATGCAGTGTTCTCCCTCGAGCTCTTCACTCTTTATGACTTACAGAGGCACAGACACCTCAAACAATTGGAGTTGTCTGTATTTTGACACCTACCCTTAAAAATAAACTGCTGTGTTTGTTGATGGTGATTTCTTTTTATTGTTAAGCGGACCCTTGTTTTAATGACAGGCCAAATACTGTGCTCCTTGTAACTACTGTGGCTCTCTTGGCAGAACCAAAGAGTGACACATCAGTGAATTTTTATAATGTGGGCAATTGTCCACCAAGAAGTTGACTGTCAGTTCACATAAAAGTCAACACCAAAAGAAAGATAGGAACAATGCTTGTGGAAACAATAGTGTTACAACTTGTAGCTCTTGTGAAGAAGCATTCCTTCAGCCAAGAGAAAGAGTGGAAGCTTTGATTATTTTAATTGAAACCTTAGGTTTGGAACAAACTAAGAACCAATTCCTCTTCAGCTTTCTGGCACCTTTGCTGGTATTTTTTCTGATTTTGGATTTTACTTTATGTACAGTTTGCAAAAGCACGATGAAATACAAGAGGAATTTTGCACTTGCATGGGAAAAGAAACTATTCATGTTTATATTTGACCTCCTTCCTCGTTTCAAAGTATATTCTGGAGTGCTTTGACAGCCCAGCAGTTGCTTGTAGCTGTGCTAATCAAAGGTCACGATATGCTGGAGCACACAGCTATTTATGGCACCAAATAAAAGCAGATATTGGGACAGCAGTGGCACTGTGTGGCTCCTGAACAAGCAAACTGCACACAGACTTCTGGCTGGGGAATTCTTCCTGTTCTCCCCTCTGTGCTCAGGCTCCTGCTCTTCTCTGGAGGCATTGCTGTGGCTCATCTTGAAGGACACTCCTTTGCCTTTGGAAAAGATGTGTATACACCCCCCCCCCCAGTACTGCAAATAAATGTTACTGGTTTGTCTTTGTGCAGCAATAGTGGAAACAAAAGGATTAGAGCGAGAAAAATTGCTGATTGATGATTATCCATGAGGTGAAGACAGATGTTAGTAGGCACTCACAAAACTCACTGATTGCTCCAAAGTAAGAGTCCACACAGAACTATGACAGAATAATTTATTCCTTGGTAGTCATTCTGGCTAATTCCCTGCTGTACACAGCCGTTGGTGTGATTACAAATGCTTTTGGGACGTCTTTAGTTCAGTGTGAAAATGTGGGGAACGGAAGTGTTTCCCTGCAGGCTGCCCAGCTCCAGCGCTGCAGCCAACCCATCAAACAAAAAGTGAAACCAGTTGTGAACCAGCTGGTCATGTTGTTCATTAACTAACCCAAAACCAATGAAAAACAACATTCTGGTGAGGGAATTATTCAGAACTTGGAAGATCTTTAGGGGTGAATTTATCCCCACTTCTTAAACTGTGACACCACCCTGCTCCCGAGGTAGACAGAAGTAAACTTGTAACTCTGCTGGTGCAGAGTAAAGCTGCAGGGCTTTGCAAAGGGGTAGCATAAAAGAGCAGTAACAGATGAGAGAAAGGAGAATTTTACCACAGACCCATGAAAGACAATTTTTTTTCCTTCTGACTCAGCCCCTTGGATGCTGCGTTACACACTGTCCACCAACACTCAGAAAACAACATGTTATGTAGCAGATAGGAGAGTTCCTTCTAAAAACAAAATAAAAAACTGCTTGAAAATCAAACAAGGCACTTGGACATTGAGATTTGTTCCAAAGGATCACGTCAAGGATCAATCTCACACCATTTTCAATAGTTTTGGGCCCAATCCAGTAATTCACTTAATGCACATCAGTAGTGCTCTTGGGTTACCTAATTTTTCATTGACTTATTTAAGCCTGAGTGTGAGTTCCAGTAAGGGAAAGAGTACTTTGCACTTGTTCAAGTCTTTGATTTATGCAGCATATATTTTGGATAGTATTTTGGCAATAATGATATGCACGTAGATGTCCCTTTGTGCAACATTGCATCGCAGGATGACATCCCTTTCAGAAAAGAGCTCCTGTTTTTCACAACTGTCATTTCGAAGGTAAAGTGTAACTGTGTCACAGTAGTCCCAGAACACTGCATAGATGATTAAGGGGTGTTTTCATAGTGGGAATAACGAGTCCCAAATACAACACACAAGTGGTGGACAATGTCTGATACTTTCACGCTCGGGCTTGACCCATGAGTCATCGTGTACCATTGGTTGGGTAAGACATGATGGAAATGAGAGATGGTTCCAGAGGTGTTCCCCGTGGGAAATGGGTTTCATCTGGGCACCCCAGGAACCAGCTTTTTCCCAGGGCCCAGGAGCATCAGGAGCTCCCCAGGGCATCCAAGCAGGCCCTGGCATCCAGACCCATCCCACCACCCCAGCCAGGAGCAGCTAGAGGCACTGAGGCAGCCCCAGCCGCGGGATGGGCATCTCCATACTTGGCTGGGCTGACATGGGATTCTGGGCAGGCCTGCTGGGGAACCTGGTAATGCCCTCAGGGCCTTGGTACTTTGGTGTTTTACAGCTGACACAGCAGGTGACTGTTGTATCTGATGGGAAAATGCCAAGCAGCTGAGAACTTTGCCCTCTGTATCCCTTAAATTGATAACCAGAACCCCGTAAAGTTATTCAAATAACAAACAATTAAGATAGTTTAAAGGTGTTTAGCATATAATTACTTTATCTAGACACTACATATTTAGGCTTTTCCATATGGTACAAAGGCAGAATCCAAATGCAGTAAATTCAAAAATTTAGCTATTGTGTATCTGTTCCAAAACCCAGATGCAATCTCTACCTTCCATACTATCCTGAGTTTAATACCTTTGGGGGAGGATGCATGTCACCCTGAGGTATCAGACAGTACTTTCTGTACATATTAATTAATCTTCAAAATTAGGTAAAAAAAAGTCCCATAGGAATAACATATCAAGGAGTTGCAAAAACTTCTGGAGGGATGCTATATCACTTTTCTGTTACAAATAGAGACCAAATATAGCCACTTCATTTCAGTTTCTCCTGAGATGGCTGCTTTAATTACCATTCTTCACATCAGTGTAAGACTTCTCTTCATAGTAGTAACTTTCCATCTTTCAACTTTTGATTTCTGATTGCATGA